CAGTGCGGGTGCTGAGAAAAGCTTTGGGCACCATATTCGAAATACAATTTTATATATACAAGTATATATTGACAGGCAGAGAGAGTTGGGGGTGTTCAGCCTGGAGAAGAGAAGGCTCCGGGGAGACCTTATTGCAGCCTTCCAGTACCTAACGGGGGCTTAGAAGAAAGATGGGGACAGACTTTTAAGCAGGTCCTGTTGCGATACGATGAGGGGTAATGGTTTTAAACTAAAAGAGGGGAGATTCAGACTAGACAGAAGAAATGTTTTGCGCTGAGGGCAGTGAGATACTGGCTCAGGTTGCCCGGAGAGGTGGGAGATGCCCCATCCCTGGAGGTGTTCAAGGCCAGGTTGGATGGGGCTTGGAGCAACCTGGTCTAGCTGAAGGTGTCCTTGCTCATGGCAGGGGGTTGGACTAGATGAGCTTTAAAGGTCCCTTCCAACCCAAACTATTCTGTGATTCTGTGCTTCTATATCCCTTCATCCCTCCTCGGAATGAAAAGTAGTGAACACTGCCATTATATAAACCTATATGCTCACGTCCTTTACAAGCAAGCCGAAACGATGAAGGTTGAGAAAACAATTCAGTCTTCAAATTTTTCTTCTCTGTCTCCATGATCAGGCACAGGGTAGTTAACTTTAGTTTTCTTCCCCAATATCTGATTTTCTCAAGCAAGAAACTCGTATTGACTTTGTTTCTGTGCGTTGCATTTGTGGTAGGTTTGGTATTAATGTAAGCAGCAGACCTAAAACCTGATTATTCCAGCGAGGCCCTCCAGAGGAAATGGCCAACCAGCTTTGAAAGGACCCTCAGCAACCACACTGAAGACATCAGGGTGATGACCGAACATCAGGGTGACGACTGAACATCAGGGTGACGACTAGGACACCTGAACGCACCTTTTACCTACAATCCCACCACTGGATTTCAATCCCTGCTCCCCAAAGACCTGTCTGAACTGACTGAAAGCAGCAACCGAACAGGAGGAAAAAATCTGTCATTTTGAGATGAGCTCCCTGCGGACCGGCAGCGCAGACTCTCTGTGATGTGCAAAAAACCACCTGGAACAGATTGACGTTAATCTGTCCATAATTCAGACTTGATACGCAGTAGGGTTAAGGGAGTGTTGTAAGGATCCACTAGCCTTCTGACTATAATTAATATGCCAGGGCACGCTCGTTAGGCCCCAAGAGAGAACAGATGGCTGCCGGCATGGCGGAGGCGTGCAAGGAAGTTGGGAAGGTGAGGTTGGGGGTGACCACGAGAAGGTGAAGAATAGTTAAGGGAACGCACAACCCACACATCCATTACTGCAGAGGAGCAAATACCAATAGAGAGCTCACTCGAGAGAAGACGCCGAGCGATGCGAGACGGGATAACGGTACTCACACGTATAAAAAAAATCTGCAAAAGGGAGAAAAGAAACTCTTCTCTACACCTGCTATAAGCGAATCAAGAAACAATTGGCTTAAATTTTAGCAAGTTAGATATTAAGGATAACGTTTCTAGCAGCGAGGGCAGCTAAGCCTGGGAAGACGCTGTGTGGAGAGGTCGGGTAAGTGCTCTCATGGATGATTTTAATGAGCGATGATACAACGGGATGGAGAGGAGCTCTCGAAGCCTGCGTTTTTTTCTGGGAATATCCTTATGTATAAAGCAAAGGAAATCAAAGTGCAGTGAAATGACTGACCTGCAGAAAAGACAGGAGGCAATGGCTTTTAAGGTGTTGGGTACAGGTGGGAAATTACAGCTGGAGCTGCCGCTGGAGAAGAGGCAGCTCGTGGCCACTTGGTGTTACCAGACGGGACCTCTCCCGGCTCCCAAAAAAGCCGGCAGCATGATTTGCATTGGCTAGAGCTTATACATCCCGATGATAGAAAGCAACCTATTTCCAAGCACTTTAAGAGCAAATAGCAGAAGAAAAGCACTGTACTGACTTCTTGTTGCTCCAAAGGTCCTGTCCACAGAGAGGGTCGGGAACGGCACCGGCCGAAGGGTGAACTGCGGGTGCGGGTATCCGCAGGTGGGGGACGGCAGGATCCCAGGGTACTGTGCACTTTCTAGTGTTGGTACCGGAATGGCACTGACCACAGCTGAAAGGAAATAAAGAGAGAGAGTTTAAATGAGCGCTTTCGGAAAATTAAATAAAAAAGAGTCCTTAGAGGGTCAGTAAGGAACCAGAAACAACCACGTTTCCAAAGCAAAGTACTCGAAACGCTCAGTGTAAAAGATTCCTCTGCCCCACAGAAGCCACCACTGTATACAGAAATACACCTCTTTGGTATACAGCGGATAATTGCACGTGCCGTCTGCAATTATCTGCAAAATTAGATAGCTTTTTGCCTGTGTTCCAGCTATTCAGCCACGTTTTTGGGGGTGCTTTGTACCCCTTGACAAGTACATGAGAAGGAACGCATCGGGCAATTTAAGGGCTTATTTCATGTCCCTGGTGCCATTTCGGATGCCCACTGCCCTCAGCCGCTGCTCTGGAGGAGCGTGGGCTCCGGCAACTCTTCCATCAGGTCTGCAGCATCACACCAATGTCCCCGCCACCCTCGGATGTCCCCAGTGGCCCCAGCAGCTAAGTCTGTCTGGGCATCATTCCCCACTCTGGAGTGTCCAAGCCTGTAAGGAACAGGGGCGAGAGGTGGCAGCAACCCGTAGCTATAAGGCTGAAGATGAAGTTGAGTTCCTGAGTTGAATTTGTCATGCTTTGATTCGAAAACCAGGATCACAGCGTGCTAAATTCAGGCTTTCCCGTGAGTTGTCACCTTCAGGTCAATGCTTGAAGAGTGGGTGATAACCACGCTACACAAATCATAAAATTCTTTGTAGCTTTTAGGAAAAACTTGGAAACCCTCGGTAAAGTTTTGCCCAGCCAAACAATAAGCAGAGATTTTCGGCTCACTGACGATAAGCTTCGGCTTATCTAGTGCCTTTCGCACATGAATTCTAAGCAACGCCGCAAACTTTAAGGCAGTCATTACAATTCCGTCTAGCTCCTGCTACATCCATTGCACAGAGCGGCGAACTGGGCTACCTGCCCAAGGGCACACAAGGAGCTACGGCGGTGCCAAGGCTTTATGAAGGTGGTGGGGTTTTTTTTAAGCACGCGGCTGTCAGCGAGACAGCGCTGCGCTTCCAGAGGTAACGGAGAAGCGCGGAGATGAAGAAAAGCCATGAAGAAAGGCTAACCTGGGTGATCTGAGCTTTGGAGTTGCCTGAGTTCAATTCACCTACTTTTAGAAGAGCATTTCTACTCTTCAGACATTTCATTTTTGTCTGTGCAAGACATTTTTACTGACAATATTTATAACATTGCTGCTACGGTGAAAAAGATCACTATTGAATCCTATTAAAGAACACCTTGTTTTTCGAAGCCCATTCCTTCATTTCTTTGGAGGTACCTAGCACTTTCATTTTTAAAATAAGACAGGATTACTATACATTGCCGGACTCCACAATAGAGAAGCTATGATGGAGAAAAGGTAATATCAAACATTTTCAATAAATCTTTGCAATTTCAAGCAGATATGACAACAAATCTGTTCTGTCACAGCCTGTCAGCGATTGAATTTGCACTTAATATTGATACACTAAGACACTGAAAACAGAAATTCCCTGACCAAATCACAGAGCTCCCTAAACACTCTTCTACATTTAAAATGTACTGCATCACATAAAAAAAAGAAAAAAAAAAAAAGCAGCACCCAAGAACAGCTTACAGAAATGACAAAGTGGGACATTTTGAATGGCATTCAAGCACCCCAGAGGCTGCCAAAGCAACCGAGTCGACATGTTCGTATTCCCCTGAAAAAAAGAACTGTTGTGATTTTCTGCAATTTTAAGGAAGGGGGATGAACAGAAAAGAACCTCCCCGCAAAACGCAGCAGAAATCTCTCTCCAAACCGGTTCACTCTACGAGCATTTTATTTCCCTCTTCCATAAGTGAGGATTACAAATACAAACCAGGAGAATTACGGGTACAATATTTGAACGTGATATCCTGCAAAGACTTTCTCAATTACTTTTTAAATACTCCTCTCTCTCCACCAGCCTCGGCATTTGTGACTGCCTGCAGTTCAGTAGCATTACAGCCATCAAAGATGTCACCAAAAAGGTATCAAATGGATCTGTTTCATGCGCCTTCCACTTCAGCAAGCGAAGGCGCGTGATGGACCATACTTGTTCGCAACGACTGCAAATACTGATTATTGAGATGAACGTGAATACTTCCAGATTTGGGTTTTAACAATTAACAGTATGTGGGTTTCGCTTCAGAGTTAGGCTGTTTCTTCTTGAATCTATTTAATCGCTCAGTGCTGACAGTTTCTTTCAGTATCAGGCAAACGGAGAGAAATTAATTAAAGCATCTAATCTGACAAAGCCTCAATTTTATTTTCTGGGGACATTTTCTGGGGACACATTCAGCACAACTCAGCCTGCACAAATAAGACTTTCACAAATCTGAGTTTAATTATTTGCAAACAATCATGGTATGCTGTCGCTGTAGATTAGATTTATACTGTTGAAAACATAAATAAATAGAAAAGAGGACATCATTTGTCAAAATGCATCATTTGACTGAAAAAAATTAAATATATTTAAGAGGACTTTTATCTGCAAGCTGTAGAACAATGTCGACTTGACTTTTACCTAACTAGCACTGCTATTGCCCCATCGTAACGACAATTGATTTAGTTCTGATTTTGCTTCCACCACTCCAAATCTATCCATTTTCTTGGACTGCTGCCCTCCTTCAACCCAGGCCAACCCAGGAGGAATCCCACTGAAAAAAAAGGGTAAATTGCCCGATTGTGAGATTATTGTGGTTACAAGATGGGAATATTTCCCTGGTGGAGTCACAGCTTTCTCCACCGCATCCCAGCGGTCTTTCTTCCAGGTGATACAGAGGGTGGGGGATGAAATGTGGTGATGTGACCAGCACAAGGTGTGGAGAACCGGAATTCAACCTCTCCCTGGGCACCTCTGGATTATCCTCGGAAGGACTGGGTACTGAGGATGAGCAGCGTGACCTGAATCGCCCCCATAATGAACGCAAATTAAGGGAACCAAGACTAGCCCCTACTAAGCAATTTCCTGAACGAAGGCACAGTAGGTTATTCCCTCTCCTTCATTCAGTTCCTTCTATTTTTATTTTTTTTTAATATCTCATTTGTGATGTGCCCTTCCGCAAACCTACAAAAAGGCGCTTACATTTCAACCTGAGAGCCAGAACGAAATTTTGTGATGAAATGGATTTCTGTCGGTATATGTCCATTTTTAACTCAGACAATTCACACAGATGTAGCAATTCCTATAGATTTCCTATGGGATCTATTTTGTGAGGACAAAGGTAGAAATTCGAGCTGAAAGCTGAGAGCTACCCAGAGATTGATCACAGGGCTGCTCAGAGGAAAGGTGGAGACCCAAAGCCTCATCCTTGACCGGGAACTTGATAAGTGCCAAACCCTCTCTCCGGTGCCTGCGGGCTCTCACTTACCCCCTTCCTTTGCTCGGATGTGAAACAAGGTCACATCAGAAATTTTAATCAGTTCTGCAGGATGGGAGAACCCATCTAATGGTCTCCAGCCTTCCTGTCTTTGTTGTGTACTTTGCCGCTTTGAAAAAGATTCACTTTGTCCATGAAATTTGTTCAATGATAAATGCACTGTAGTCACTAAAATTTAAAACCTATCAAAAACATCTTCTCTCCTCATTTATTTGGCTTCAAAAGAGAGTTGCTCCATATTAAAAAAGCACATGGTGGCATGGCCAACTACTATAGACAAAAGAAAATACAGCAGAAAGTGCAATAATGTCCAGATGATTACAATTATTGATAGTAATAATATCACCAATTGCAAAGTTTTCTGCTCTGGCAGCTTAAACTCTTCCCCCTTTTTTAAAGTTTTATAGTAGGGAGACAGAGAGATTTCACAGAATCAGAGAACAGTCAGGGTCGGAAGGGCGCTCTGGAGCTCCCCCATCCCACCCCCCGCCAGAGCAGGGGCACCTCCAGCAGTGGCACAGGACGGCGTCCAGGCGGGTTTGGAATGGCTCCAGAGGGGGAGACTCCCCCACCTCTCTGGGCAGCCTGTGCCACTGCTCTGCCACCCTCACAGCAGAGAAGGCCCTCCTCAGGATGAGATGGAACTGCCTATGGTCACGTTTGTGCCTGTTCCCTCTTGTCCTGTCACTGGGCACCACTGAAAAAGGACTGTTCCTTCCTGGCATCCTCCCTTGAAGGATTAATGAGTGTTGATAAGATTCCCCCTCAGTCTTCTCTTCTCCACACTAAAAAGCCCCACGTCCCTCAGACTTTCCTCAGCAGAAAGATGCTCCAGTCCCCTCATCATCTCCGTAGCCCTTTTCTGGACCCTCTCCAGCAGTTCCCTGTCCTTCTTGACCTGGGGAGCCCCGAACTGGACACAGCGCTCCAGATGTGGCCTCCCCAGGGCAGAGCAGAGGGGGAGGATGACCTCCCTCCACCTGCTGGCCACACTCTGCTTGATGCCCCCCAGGATGCCATTGGCCTTCTTGGCCACCAGGGCCCATTGCTGGCTCATGGGCATCCTGTTGTCCCCCAGGAATGCGCATTAGCCCATGCGATGCCCCAGAACGCGACTTAACTTTATGAGGCATAACTAGATGACATCTGAAAGATCGTATGAGATCTTCAGACGGGTGAACACGCGGTGCAGAAAGGGGGACAGGGGATGGTCCTGGTACTCACGAGGGTTGTTTGGTTGTGAATCCATGGGGATCATGAGCTTGGCACGGGTGGCTCTGCGGGCAGCAAGCGACCGCTCCAACGTGGACATGCTGCTCCCAACATCTTCTGTCTCAGGACCTAGAGAAAAACAACACAACGGCTTAGTTGAAAACGCTGTGAATGGATGTTCCTCTTCACCTCGCATCTAGGAGAAAGTTCAACAGCTTTTTTTTTTTTTAGAATTCAGGTTTTTTTTACGCGATCATCAAATATCATCACCTGCAAAGAGCTGCACAGACTATTTTGGCTGCCTTTTCCGAATGCAATTATTGTTTGCATTTTTTAAGTACGAGAATTAAGATATCACGATATTTCTTGATCTCGGAAATTAGCCCGCAAACCCCACTCACTTCATAAAACCACGACATTTTTCTTGCAACTTCCCTGTAACACGTTATTTTAAAATTCAAGTATCACCACCAGAAAAAAAAAAGGCTGCATAAATTCTGGTACCTATAAAACCTGGCAGCCAAGAATTGCTCTTTGAAATACATCTGAAGGATGAAAACAACCTTCCTTGTGAGATGCCACAAAGTCTTAGGTCCTGATTGCCCATCCTACAGACCCAGCCATTCATGGTGGCTCCTCCAGTCTGTCCAGCTTGTTTTATTCTACAGCAACCATGGCAAGTTCAAGACGTGCCTGCATCTTCCCCTTATCTGGTCCTGGACCACCACTAGCACATCTACCTAGACCAGAGATATGCTGCCCAATGCGCAATCCCGTTCCAAACTGCCCCAGCAGGTATAGAAATCAGACTCTCTGGTTTGGTATTGAAATATGGATGCTCTGATTTAGTCACATTAGTGTAGGATATTTGAAGTATTCAAAGATTCTAGAGAATGCACTTGTCACAAAGAAAATGTGCTTGGAACTGGATGTTCAGTGGAGTAATCTGCAATGAAATAAAAGCTGTATTTCTCCCTTCATACTGTGTCTCACGCGAACCTTATATTTATGTTACTTCTGCTGTTTTAATAAACCATGGACGAAATTAGTTTAATACTGTCATACAAGTAAGCTTAATACCCACTCGGGCTATTCATCTCTGGTGTACCCAAGAAAACACTTATTCCTTTAAAAAAAAAGGAAAAAAAAAAAAAGGAAAAAAAAATTTGGATGCAAATTTCACAACTCTAATTTCCCCAAATCTACAAGTGAAACCCAGGCAATTTCTGTCTCTCCTGCCCTGGGAGCCCCTCACCGGGCTGTGGGGTGCTCTTGCTGCCCAGCTGCGTTTCCGACTGGCTGTGGCTGACGGGGGTGATGTCCTGGCAGCTCTGCATGGGAGAATCCCTTCCTGCGGGGTCCGAGCCCGTTGGCTTCTCGATGTTCTTCATTTCCATCTCCTCGTGGTGTATCCACAGATCCGGCGGTCTCAGGTCCTTCTGGCTGCCCTTCCTTTTACCAGCGCTGTGTGTTGCACGTTTCCTGCAGCAAAGAAAGATCAAAACCGTCACGTACGAACATTTTTCCCTTTTATAATACCAAAAGAGTGATGTCTCCTCATTGGTATCTCTCTAAGGAACCCCTCCGGTTGTGTCCTTCAAAGGACAGTGGTTATCTTGGTGTGGTCCTATGCTTCCCGGAGTTTGCTCCAGGGGATGGGCCTGGGGTTCAGCA